AGTCTATCTGAGTGACTCGTGATTCCACAGACACTCATTGACCTTTCCTCTCATCGGGCCCTGGAAATGGTCTTTTCAGAAAGTTTCTCCAAGATGTAACCTTACCGGTCCTTTGAGAAGCAGCTCCCAGGCCTCCTCCATAAAGTAGACCCTTCCAATCAGTTAAGTAAAGAAGCACCTGGAGCACCTGTGTTTTCCTTGTGAGGTTGACCTTGCATGAGGTTCACCCTTTTATTGCACTTATCATATACAGTGGGGCCTTGACTTACGAGTTTAATTCGTTCCGTGATGGAGCTCGTATGTCAAATCAACAGTGAACGAGTGAGACACGTGATGCTGGGCTGATGTTGTGGCATTCACTGTGGCGTTCACTGCACCAACTAGCAGTGGGGTATCTGAAGCTGGCTCATAACCCGAATTTTAGCTCGCAACTCAAAGCAAAAAATCAGCCGAGAGACAGCTCGTATCTCGAAAAACTCGTTAGTCGGGACACTCGTAAGTCAAGGCCCCACTGTAGTAGAAAAAGTATTCCATTTGTTTATAATCAAGACACTTGTTTCTATCCTAGCCTTGCCCTAGCATACCATCTATCCTGGAGCCAATCATTTAATTGTCATGAACTTTTACATAAAGTTATCATGGTCTATGAAATTTGAAATTATGTAATCACATGCAGGTTAACCAGTTATAAATACAAAACCAGAAAAACCAACTAAGTATGGACTCTGAAGCATAATGAAAAGAGTTCAGTATTATTTGGGGAACATTTTTTAGGAAATGTAGGTCTTAAGTCAAAGCTTGAGGGTGTTTGAAAGAAGCAATGTGCTTGACAGGGTGTTCTGAGTGAGAGAGTTGGCCTCAGGCTTAAGAAGGAGCAGTAATACACCCTATGTGAAGACATTTAATTGATATTAAAAAAGTTGTGTTTTTTTTTTAGTTCTTCAAGGGAAAAGCCATAGTAAGGAACTAAAACCGTATTTCTAAAGTGCCATAATGAAATAGTTAATTTCTGTTCTTGAATGGAAATCTAACTTTCTGTGCCCAGACTTCTGATATGGTGTGCTGTCTGCCTTTCAGCATGGAAGAATGTGAAGCTCTCTGCACCAGGCTGGCCATCATGGTGAATGGGAGGTTCCAGTGCATTGGATCCTTGCAGCATATAAAGAGCAGGTGAAGAGCAAATGTGTGTCTAACATACGGAGTAGGGTAATCGATCTGATGGAACTATGCTCACCTCCAAGGACGATCTCAGCAGCCTACCCTGCAACGAGTAGTAGAATTGGAATGGATAAGTTAATCATTGCCTCATTTTAAAGTTAAATTATCTTAGTGAGGCTTGGATGTATTTTTTAGTTAATAACCCCAAAACTTACAAGGCCTAAGAGCTTTAAAAAATTAATCCACAATGAATATAACCTCAAAAGGCAGTTTCAGGAGTTTACTAAATAACAAATTAGACTTTGACAGGTACACGAAGGCAAAAACTTTTATTTAATATGTTCATTTGCACACACTTTCAGTGAGCTATTTAACATTTTTTATCTCATTCAAAATCTTTTAATCAATAATATTTTGGGGTAATGTGCTTAAATATCATACTAACAAATTAAAATGAAATTAACATTTTATATTTGCCAGAGTACATATGAATTTATATATGTGTGTGTGTATATGTATATATATGTATATGAATATATATATATGTGTGTGTATATGTATATATATATACACATATATATATATATACACAAACTTCATGATGTTATAACTTTACCTGTACAACTGTCTTTCTTATATGATAGTATTAACCAAGATAAGTAAAAAGGATGGAAGAGACCTTATATGCTGTTCTCAACTTGTATATAAACTCTACTCTTGGTGCTAACAGTTAGCTAGTATATCTACTTTTATCTCTGTTTAAAACCCAGTGACTTTAATCTTTACCATTGACACCAAATTCCCAATGACTTACCTCTCAAGACCTTGTTTACTTTAAATTAGAAAGTATTTCACCCCAGAAATTAATGTCAACTGTCAAGTCATGGGTATCCAAAAAAAGTCAAGATTTTATATATATTTTTTCTAATGCAGCTTTTGTCCAAAGAGTTTGACTTTGTATAACGGTAGAAATAAATTTTAAAAAACTGTGGCAGTTCACTATTTCCAGTTTGCAGCATGCCCTGAACACTTATGACAAAATGACAGTCTTTATATAAGAGAAGGGGCTCTAATGGTCAGGTTGGGTCCTGTTTCATTATCTAGAATTCCAGGGGAGCCATTTCAGCAAAATGGAACTTATACTGTGTTTTGCACTTTCGCTTTCTAGGTTTGGACGAGGATTTACTGTCAAGGTTCACGTGAAGAATACCAAAGCTAGCATGGAGGCCCTCACAAGGTTCATGCAACTGCACTTCCCAAAAACATACTTAAAAGTAAGTAAGAGATTACCCTGCCTTTTATATTGACTGGTTATGATAGTCCGATATCGTAGTGGACATTTGCCCTTTTCAAGTTGACCACAGCTTTATTGGTTAATCTTAACATATTCATTAGTTAAATTTATATAACATACTCTGAAGCCCACTTAGTATAAATAGGAACTTCAAATTATTCTAGTGTTCAAATAGAATCTTCAAGAACCCATTTTTGTATAATTACAAAAATTACATTTTTGTAGCTATTAACAAGTAATGTCATCTTTTCACACACCTTCATTTATTTCTTCCTCACAAAGGCTTTATGACCATACGTATTACTTTCTGAGTTGTATACATAACTAGTTTACCAGATATATACATTAGGGAACTGAGGGATGACAGATATTATTTCTGTTTAGAAAAAGAATTCCAGAATGGCACAGCCAGAAGCAATTAAAAGATAAACTCACAAAGGTTTGAGCAGAACCACTTGGAATCAAGTTCTTAAACCCACATTATTCAATGAATTCCATCTTATTCCAAATTATTCAATGAATCAAGTTCTTAAACCCACATTATTCAATGAATTCCATCTTACTAGTATATGTATCCACAGGATGGACCCCTACAGATATACAACTATGTATCTCACTTAGTTCAAACTTAAATGCACTTTATGAAAAAAGGTTATGATTATATAATAGCTTTGATGTACAGGAACTTAAACAAAATGATTACAGCAAATACTTGTTGTAAAGGGAAATCATGTGTGGAGTGATGAAAAGAAATTGCAAGTCTTGGGCAGAAGTCAAGTTCTCCCTGTGTGACTTCTAGCAAGACAGTTAAAGTCTCTGAGCCCCATTTTTCTCATTTGTAAAATAGCAATAATGGTATCTCCGTTACAAGATTGGCATGAGAAATAAATGATAAAATATCTACAAAGACATTTCTGTAAGGCACCATATTAATGTGAAGTGATTGGAGAGAACAAAATAGAATATGTTTTTAGAAACAATTCTTTTATCTCTACAAAATACCTTTTCCTCAACCTCCCAAGCTTTAGCTAACTTCTCCAGGAAATAATAGCTTTTACAATTCTTATCAAAGCCCATTTTCTATCATCTAAATTAAAATCAAATTTAAAAAACTGAAGGACCCGTTCCTTGCACAAATCATGTTGGTCATAGTGCTTTTTCTTTCCGTGACTTTCTGGATCGAAGTCCGTGCTTATTCGCTGAGTGATGAGATTACATTCGCCCTGGTCTGTTCCTCATGGACCGGGGCTACACAAGACAAATGCAGTGATGATAAAAGTCTTATTTCTTTTTAAACAGACCATCCTTTACAAGCATCTGGTGGTTTCTAGATATCTAGAAGGGAAATAGCAAGAACAACAAATTGGAAGTAAAATGAAGTAAGATTCTGATTGCAGTGACAGGTGTGATGTGAAAATAAGTCAATGAGAGGGGCTGGGCAGTGAGCAAAGGGCTGAGAGGAGGGGTTTCCAGCAAGGGAAGTCTGGAAAGCCAGGCTGAAATGCACAGCCCTGATTTAACCCATATAGTTCCAGGGGTAGATTCTGGAGCAAGACAACATCCTGATTAAGCTAGTGTTTAGAAAAGATTACCGTGCTGCTTTGGGCCAGTATGTGAGTGTAAATAGTTTCCAGGCTTCTGAAAAGGTGGTCGCAGTAACTCAGACCTGGAGTGATCAACCTCAGGTTAATGATACTGATGGTGCAAATCGAGAGGACAGTTGAAATTGGAAAGCGGTTTTAGATGAAAAGGAAATGGGATATGATAACTGATTAAATATGCAGAAAAGTCAGGTGTTAGAGATGCTCCAAGGAAATGAGAATAGATTACTAAGTAGATGCTAATCCTATATATTGACTAACATAAAGAAGTTGAAGAGAATTTTGGGGTCAGGTGTGAAAAAATACAGTGTTATTTGAAAGAGGTTTTCCTAGGAAATGCTGTTGCAATCTAGCCTCTTTAGCCAATATAAATTGAGCAACGAATCCTTGGCCCTTTAGGTGAATTTTAACATTTAAAAAATGAAATTTCTAAATGTTATCTCTGAAAAAGCTTATGTGAGCTGAGAGCATAATCTGACATCTGAACTACCATCCCATAATATTTTTTTGCAGGTAAGACCATGATGACTTTATAAGTGCACACTAATGTAAAATGCTTTGGAATTTTCATTAGCTTTTTAATTTGTTTTCTCTTTGACATTCATAAAACTTTCCATCTCATCTTTGCAAGCTGTTGGTTTCAAAAACACACCCATTATTTACACTGCAGTGTCATTTCCAGTGGAATAAATTTCAGTATTTTTCTTGGCTCTTGCTCAATATTACCTGACATTGCAAAATACATTTTTTTCCTTTGGTTCCCACAGGATCAGCACCTCAGTATGCTCGAGTACCACGTGCCAGTCACGGCAGGAGGAGTGGCAAACATTTTTGATCTGCTGGAAACCAACAAGACTGCTTTAAATATCACAAACTTCTTAGTGAGCCAGACTACTCTGGAGGAGGTAAGATGGAGGCCATGACCCCTGTGCACACTATCACATTAATTACTACACGTTGTGTTCATTTCCTTCCAGTGACATTCTATTTGCTTTAGTTAAAGCAACATTTAATCTCACACCTGAAAAATTTAATTGATTTCTAACCAGATTTTGGGATGTTAGAAAAAAATGTTAAAAGCATTAACTATTGTTACTAGAGAAAAGAAGATTTTTTTTTTTTAATCCTCACTCGAGGATATTTTTCCAGTGATTTTTAGAGAGAGGGAAAGACAGAGAGAAACACATTGATTGGTTTGCCTCCTGCATGCCCCTGACCAGGTCCTGGGAAAGGAAGGAGCCTGTAAGCAAGGTATATGCCCTTGACCAGAATCGAACCTGGGACTCTCAGGTCCGCAGGCCAACACTCTACCCACTGAGCCAAACTGGCCAGGGTGAAAAGGAGATTTTTTTTCCTTTCTACAAGACATCTATATCCATCAAGTTATGTGCATATGTAAAGCAACAATAGTTTCACTGTAAAACAAACTGCTTTCCTTACTTTCTCCTTGATAGGTTTCTTAAATACCATTTCCCTTGATTGGCTTCCTGAATTTGATACTATATGGAGTATCTGGAGAGAATCTGGTGCCAGATTTTTAGGTCTGCTAGATTCTGGGCAACCAAAGTGGCAAAGGCAGAACTCTTTCGTTTTATTCATATCATGTCTTAATTACATTTATATTCAATAACTCAAGGCATTCTTCATCACCTTTGAATCATTTGGCTCAACCAACCTGATGTATAGAACATTTTATTTCATCTACCCCTGTAATGGGTCAGAATGTGAGGTGTAGGGGCCTCTGAGTCAATAAATGGTGCTGCATTTTATGGACAATTTTCTATGGGATTTTAGAAAAGGATGGCTTTTCTAACACAGAATATTTAGCCTTTGACTTGTAACCAACTACCAGCACCATATCTGGCATGAAATAAACTCCCATTTTTTTCTGGAAGAATCGATGACTAATAGATTTAATAATTTTAAACAAAGTAATAAATGTCTGCCTATTAAATAATTGGCTTACTGAAAATAATGTTAATATGAGATTTCTATACAAATTTTATTTTTTAGTGCACTAACTGTTGAAATTAGTGCATTTCTCTCAACATCACCATACAAGCATTTGATAAGGGTTTGGTTTGGTCTCCTTGTTTATACTTGATAGAGATATTAATGTAGAGCATTCAGGTACAGATAAGTAGCTACATATGTTAGATTTCTATTATGATAAAAAATCCAATCTTTTTTGTTTGCTCTTCCAAGTGTGTATGTGTGTGTGAATTAACCATATTTCTTCCTTTGGTTTATCAAGCACTAATGGCTTTATTTCCCTTGGAAAAAAATCAGGTTTTCATCAACTTTGCCAAAGACCAGAAATCCTATGGAAATGTTGATACCAGTATCCAAGGCTCCACCATAAGTGTTGACTCACAGGATGACCGGTTGTAGTCTTGAGACCTCCAGCAAACCCGATCGCAGCAAAGCCAATGGCTTCATTTTGAGGAAGAACTGCAGAAGGCACCACTCCCTTGAAGATGCCACTTCCTTAGGACATCTTCATTTGAAAGTGTTATACTGTATAGAAAGTTACAATTGTGTAAGACTAGCAAGTAACTATACATGGAGAATTTTCTTCCTAAGGCTACTGAATGTTGTTGCTACTGAAATGAATTCCTATCTACTCAATGCTGTGAGCATGCTAATGTATATGCTGGTGGTTTTTATGCAAAGAAGAACTACCTGAAGATGAATGTCTTAATTTATTACTTTCAATAAAAAGAAACCTTAAAAGGCATGGTTATTAGTTGAAAAGTAAGAGTGGAAAAGAAAAATAAGGTAGCCTGGGGTAGGTAGAATTGGGAGAACAAAAAAAAATGTTTCCAACAAATAGCAGAATGAAAATCATCATGAATAAATGAATCTGCTGTGATGTGCTAAGGGCCAGAATAGCATTGGCAGTAAGCAGTGGGCACGATGTCATTTTCCATTCCTGCAAACACTTGGGGACAGACCGAACCCCGCCCCCCACAATGGCTTTCTACAAGAATGTCATAGGAAGGCAGTTTGCCCTGGTGGTAAACAGAACTTAGACGTATTCCCGACGTGCCTTGACAATAGGCAGGCACAGGGCAGAGCAAGATGCTACTTTCTCTTCAGGGAAAAACAGGTGTGTCAGCTGGGCAGACACAAATCCTGAAAACTGCTAGAGAATCCATGTGCTGCTGGCAGGCCAGTGGGTTTGTTTTTTAAGCTCTTACAGAAAGCCTTGTATTCTGGGTCTCTCTGCAGGAACGATTCCTGTGGAGAAAAAATGAACATGAAGATAATTTTCAGCTAATTACCCGCCTGACCCAGAATCATCTCAATGGCTATAAGATTGATTGACTTCGTAATAATGCCAAATTATATGGCCCTCAGGGAAGGTGCTTTATGTAACATTTGCGTGTGTGTGTGTGTGTGTGCGTGCACGCGCTGTATGTGTGTGTGTGTACAAGTTTGCCAGCTTTGGCACAACTGTTTCTGTTTCAAAAATCAATAAATGCAAGGTTCAAAAAACAAATTATTCACGAAGTCATTTTATTTGTTAGGGGAGAGCCAGGACCTAAAAACTAGAGCCACGTGGCCCAAAAGTTCCCATGTATGTGCTCCTACTTTCCACCCTCATCGTTTTCTCCATTCTCATCCCTTTCATCCTTCCCTTCCTCTTTAGCATTTAGCCATTCTGGGCTTTTCAGTTTTTCTAGTGTACCAAGCCATGCTCACTCCCATGTCCAGGCTTTTGTCTATGCTGTTCCCCCTATTTGAAATGCTGTGCCCCAACTCTTGCTGCCTGGCTAACAGTCTTCAGAAATGTTATTCTTTCTTTGAGTAGCTTTCCTTCCTTGGTCTCAGTTTAAATTCAGTCCCCCACCCCATTCTACTACTGTACTTATTTTTTTTTTCAGAGAGGAAGGGAGAGGGAGAGAGATAAAAACATTAATGATGAGAGAGAATTATTGATCAGCTGCCTCCTGAATGCCCCCAACAGGGGATTGAGGCACAACTTGGGCATCTGCCCTTGACCGGAATCGAAGCAGGGACCCTTTAGTCCGCAGGCCGAAGCTCTATCCACCGAGCCAAACTGGCTAGGGCTACTACTGTACTTATTGACCCTCATACTTTTCTATCAGAACATGCATCCTAATTTGTAATATATCCAGACTAACAATATGTATCTTAACAGATGGCAACAGAATTTCTCTTGGGATAGAAAATGCCTTTGTAGAATATAAATAATACCTAGATAAACCTTTGGAGTAGAAGGTGTCACTCTGAGAGGCTATGTCTTCAGGAGCCCATACGATTAAAAAAAACAAGTCAAACGCTATGAAAGAATATAGAGACTTGGGATTTATTTATTGATCATTTTGTTTGTTATTGTGGTGGTTGGTTGCTTGCTTCTGAACAATGGAAGGAAGAGAAGCAAAGGGCAAGGAGAGAAAGGAAGTGGAGGAAGGAGGAACCCGTGAGATGGTGGAAGGCTGAGGATTGGACAGAGATCAAAGTCTCGTGAGGAAGTGGAGAGGTTTAATGGACTTTTAAATGATGAATATCAAATGTGTGGTTGCCTTCATTTGCTGTGCAGCCATGCTGTGGACTTCCCTCATTACTTCTACATTTTCACTGAAGTCAGCCACATTTACAATGCGTTATGTGAATGAGCGTCTAGTGGAAATTGAGGAAGGGATATGTTAATGTCGTCTTTGAAAGGAGTGCAGTGACTGCTTTGCCACAGAGAAGGAGAAGCTTAGAGGCAAGGAGGCCATGAGACCGAGAGCCTCTGATATGTGCAGCATGGAGCTTCTGATCCCACAGAGCATGTGTGTGAAGGGTTCCAAGCCCATCCTATCTACCTCTCAGCACTTCCTGTTCTTATGTTCTGGAGTGATCAATTCCCTTCCTTGAGTATGGGGGGGCGGGGGGGGGGCGGGACCTGTGATTTCCACTGGTCAGAAGGGAATTACATTGCACAAGATTGTAACATGTCTTACTAAGAGCCTGCCTCCCTTGCTAGCTTTAATAGCGTAAGAGGCCATGTTGGGGAAGCTCACTGGCAAGAAATTACAGGCAGCCTCTGGCCAACAACTACAAGGAGCAAAGGTGGACTCCAGCTGACAGCCAGCAAGAAACTGAGACCCTCAACCGGACGATGTGCAGGAAACTGAATGCTGAGTTTGGAAATAGATTCTTCTCAGTTGAGCACATGGATGACAAACCAACCCTGGCCAACACCTGGGTTGCAGCCTTGTTTGAGAACATTTTTTCCCTTAAATGATTCTTTGCAAAATATGTACCTGTAGTCATTACTCACTGAAGTATGTAATTAACCCTATTCACCTGATTGTCAACTTGATTTTCCTTTGTCTACCTCTGATAAATATGTTAACCCTTTGGTTGCCTTTTGTTTACACCTATGCCATTGTTAAAAGTTATAGGTCATCCTCTATATCTTTCGCTATTTTATCAGCCACTGATGGACTAACCTCAATTTAATGATAGCCAACATTTATACTACAGAGTTTATAATTGCATTTTTCACAAAGCAACTTTATATGTATAAAGTCATTTGAACCTCACAGCAGTCCGGAGAAGTGTTATTGTCCCTAGATGGAGAACTAGGATCAAGGGGATTAAATAACTCTCTTCAAAAAACACAATGTATTAGATTACAGTGGCTGGCTATCTTTTTGTTTGTCCCAGTCATGTTATGATTTCTGTGGCTTACTTTCTTCTGTTCAAGGTTGTCTCAATGAGGCTGTCCATGATGGTGGCCCCACTTCCTCCCAGGCACAGGACCTATGATTTAGTGCATGATTGACATGTGACTCCAGCAAAGTTGTTAAATATGTATTAATATTTAAATTTTGGGAGAGCTATTTCCTTTTCTTGGGATTGCTCTACTGAGTAGAGATGAGTTCAGGGCTCCCAGTTGCCATCATATCCATAATATTAGAAAGAGGTTGCACATTAGATAAAGTCAAACAGATACAGGCAGGACTGACAAATGGAAGAATAAACCAAACTTGATGACTTTTTTTTGAACCATAGAATCCAGCCACACCTGGAAGACCACTCTGGAAGCTGTGGAGGACACACTTTAGTGAGGCAACGTGGAAGTCAGGGAAATCCAGGAAACCAGTGCAGTAGAATAAGGTGGGAGCAGAGCTGGTAAGAAAAAGTCAGATTCTACTTATACTCTATGGTGAAGGCAAAAATGACAGGACTCACTGCCAGGTTAGTGAGGAATGTGTAAAAAAAAGGGGGGGAGCGGGGGTGGAGTCAGGAATGAATTCAAGAGTTTTGAACTGAGCAGCTGAATAAATGGAATTGGCATTATTGAAAAATGGTGAAAGTGGAGAGACAAAGGCAGGCTTAAGGGGGAAATTAAGAGCTTAGGGAGAAATTTATAGTCCATTAAGTTTAAGATGCTTGGTAGACAATCCAGAGGAAATGTTGAGTGCCCTGATGGATCTATACATCTGGAGTCCAGGAAAAGGTCCATACTGGAGAAAAAACTGTGGTGGTCATTGGCATATACACTGAGTGGCCAGATTTTTATGACCACCTGACGTTTGTAGGCAAATTAGCTATAATTTTGCGCTTAAATTGCTAGAGGGCCATACCATTATAAATAGGGAAACAGGCTGTTTACCACGACAGTAGAAGTTATTTTTTCTGAAGATATGGGCAAACAATGTGTTTTAACAGCCTTTAAACCTATATATATATTAGATGGAAATTCAAGCTACAAGTCTGGATGGGGACATTCAGGGAGATGGGTGCATCTAAAGCAGGGAAACAGTCTCCAGAGAGCATCTTGAGGCATTACACTATTTTTTCAAGTAAAGAAGGAACATTCAGGGAACATTCAGAAAAGAATGTGTAACATGCAAGTTCTCCTCAGCCCCCCCCCCCCTGCACACACACACAAAAGGTGTTTCTAAAAAGGAGGGAGTCACTGACATTATCTAGACAGCTGTTTGGGTAAATTAATATAAGAACTGAAAACTAGCCATTGGATTTGACATATTCATGAGTGACCTTAACAAGTGAAGTTTCTGTGGAATGACAGGGAAAAAAAAAACAACCTCAGGAATTACCTTAATTTAAAATAGAAGGAAAAGTGGAGGTGAAGTATATAATTGACTTTTTCAAGAGAGTGAGGGAAAGGGGAGCAGAGAAATGGGTAGTAGTTGGAAAATTATTAGTTATCAGAAGAGAGAGCGTATATACCCTAATGGGGGCAGGAAAGGACCAAGGTTGCCAGGGAGAGTGCCCTGTGCCTCTGATGGTCTCTGGGATGGATAGTGTTCCCTGTTCCTTGAGTCCTATTTTCCTTGTTAGGATTAATGGCTGAAGCCTGGACTTTCATAGCGTGTGATCTGGTCTTTCTTGGCTTGGTCAGTATCTGGTAGTGCTTCTCGGATGTTTGTTACATGTTCCATTTCTTCCATAGGCACCACAGGTTACCCTTAGCTCAGAGGTCACCTAGTCCTACCAGGTTGGATGACAAGACAGGAACACTGCTCTCAAGTCAGAGACTATGCCACAGTCAACTGCAGGTGTTCAAGCCAAGACCCAACGTATCCTTTAAGGTACCGTCCTGTGCAGTCTAGTCTACTTAGATGTGGCATGTCCCAGAGTGACACACAGTAGCTTACCTTCTACATTAAGCCATTTTAATGACTATTTAACACAGAGACACACACACATACTCTGTTGTCAAAGTACAGAGAGTAGAAAATTAGTACTAAGTTCATCCTTCTCTCATCTTGCCTCCTCTCTCTCCTTTCCTTAGTTCCCCAGAATGGAAAGCAGGAAAGCCCTCTCTACATCAGATCCCCCTTCTATAATAAACAGCAAATTTTAAGACTGAAATTGTATAATTTTTTACATTACAAAAAAACTCTGTGACCTTGAACTCATTTCTAGTTTTCCAGTCTAAACTATTAATCTACAAAACGGAATGTAAGGTGGAAAGTCAGAGAAATTAGGCAAATCCATTCTTAAAATAATACCCTGTCCTTCAGTTCTGCTGCATATTCCTATTTTGTTTGTCATAAACTAAGTATTACCTTGTTTTCTTCCACAGCCTTTTCTGGAATTTTTCTAATTCCCTAAATTTCCTCCCTTATAATCCCTAAACCTCTCTAACCCCCAGTAGATAAATGCCTTGGACTACAGGGAAAGGCATCATCATCAGAAAGTCAAATAAGGAAAAGCTTCAAAGGCTAGGGGCTATGGCAGGTCTGTCCAAGCAGGTCTCTTCTTCACAGAAACACAGACCCTACCTTTCACTTCACCTCAGCTCTGCAGGCTCAGAATCACAACCTATCAGCTTACGGGGGATATATCAGCCACGGATGGACCCACACGAAGGTCCAGAGCACTGTTGGGTAAAATCTGAGTGTCTGATTACTGATTTACAAGGAGAACTTTAATTAACCATTCCTACTTCTCCCCCCACCAAGCCAGTGCATTTTCTGTCCCCACAAGCACACTATATAGGAAGTCCC